CTGCACCTCCGCTCCCCAGCCTGAGCCACTCCTGCCCATCTGCTCGGCTGGTAGAGGCCGATTTTACACAGAGCCACGTGGAATCTTTCATCCCTTTTTATTTAGTTCTTTCCCCCCCCACCTCCCCCGCAGCAGTCAGGGATGCAGATGGAGCTGCCTCCTTCACGCTCCTGCCAAGAGCAGAGCCGGGCTGTCTGCGGCACAGAGGGAGGGCAGTGCAGGGACATCCCCCCATCTGCAGCTTCCCCATCCCGGCGCCGGCACTGGCATGGCCATGACAGCATGGCCGTGTGCTGCTCAGCCCTGCCACCACCCCTGCCAGCCCCCGCTCCGTCTCTTGCAGAAGGAATTCCTCAGGTTTACTACTTTGGCCCATGCGGGAAGTACAACGCCATGGTGTTGGAGCTGCTAGGACCCAGCCTAGAAGATCTCTTCGATTTGTGTGATCGGACCTTCACGCTCAAGACCGTCCTGATGATTGCGATCCAGCTGGTGAGCACAGCACCTCCGCCTCGCTGGTGGCTCTGCGCGGCTCACCCCGGCCTGCCTGGCCGCACGCCGCCCCGGGGGAGCAGGGTGATGCGTGGGCACAGCAGGCAGAGTGTGCCAGAAGCCCGTGGGGAAGAGGGGGAAAGGGAGGAGTGAGTCAGTGCCCAGCAGACCTCAGGAGCCACTGCCTGCTGGCACATCCCAGACCGCCTCCCTCCACACCTCACCCTTTCCCTGGTGCAGGAGGGCTCTGGCTCACCCTTGTGTAGCCCTTCTGAGCACAAACACGCATCTCCGACTGCGTGTCCGAGATGCAGCTGGACTGAAGTTGTCTCCCACAGCTGGAGGACCTGTTGTGCCCGTCCGTTTGGCCAGGGTGATGTATGAGCTGAGGGGAGCAGGGCTGCTGAGTCAGGCCCAGGGCAGGAGGATGCAGGGAGGCTGCAGTCCGGTGTGCCTCTGCCGTGGTGTTGACATCTCCTTCTGCCCCCAGATCACACGGATGGAGTACGTCCACACCAAAAGCCTGATCTACAGAGACGTCAAGCCAGAGAACTTCCTGGTGGGGCGGCCGGGCAGCAAGCGGCAGCACACCATCCACATCATCGATTTTGGCCTGGCCAAAGAGTATATTGACCCCGAGACCAAAAAACACATCCCCTACCGAGAGCACAAGAGCCTGACAGGGACAGCGCGCTACATGAGCATCAACACCCACCTCGGGAAAGGTGTGTGTGCAGGGGGGGCCAGCCCTGCCTTTCAGCGAAAGGGAGAGCGAAGGGGACTGCAGGGTGCCAGCTGCCCCCTGCCAGAGGTGGGGCTGGGGATAAACTCCTCCTCCTGCTCTTCAGCCCGGGATGTTGGGTGCTGCAGGGTCTGGCCGGGACGGGGACGGTGGCTGTAGGGGAAATGTGCCCATGTCTCCTTTTTTCTCCGTGCAGAACAAAGCCGCAGGGACGACCTGGAAGCATTAGGGCACATGTTTATGTACTTCCTCCGCGGGAGCCTCCCTTGGCAAGGCCTCAAGGTAACTGACTGCCAGCTCCTGCTGTCCCTGGGCACGGCTGTCGTGTGAGTCTGGCTCTGCCCTGATGTAGGTGGCATCATTCACTTGGGCCACAACAACCCCCAGTGTTCCAGGCTTGGGGAAGTGTGGCTGGAAAGCTGCACAGCAGAGAAGGACCTGGGGGTGCTGGTCGACAGCCGATTGAACATGAGCCAGCAGTGTGCCCAAGCAGCCAAGAAAGCCAACGGAATCCTGGCATGTATCAGGAACAGTGTGGCCAGCAGGAGCAGGGAAGTGATTGTCCCCCTGTACTCAGCACTGGTGAGGCCACACCTTGGGTACTGTGTCCAGTTTTGGGTCCCTCACTTCAAGAAGGACGCTGAGGTGCTGGAGCAGGTTCAGAGAAGAGCAACAAAACTATTGAAGGCTTTAGAGAACTTGTCCTATGAGGAGCAGCTGAGGGAGCTGGGACTGGTCAGTCTGGAGAAGAGGAGGCTCAGGGGGCACCTTCTCGCTCTCTACAATTACCTGAAAGGAAGCTGTAGGGAGATGGGGGTCGGTCTCTTCTCCCACGTTATGAGTGACAGGACGAGAGGGAATGGCCTCAAGTTACGCCAGGGGAAATTTAGGTTGGATATCAGGAAAAATTTCTTTCCAGAGAGGGTTGTGAAGTATTGGAACAGGCTGCCCAGGGAGGTGGTGGAGTCCCCATCCCTGGAGGTGTTTAAAAGCCATGTGGATTTGGTGTTGAGCAACATGGTTTAGGGACCCTGACAGTGCAGGGTGAACGGATGGACTCAATGATCTTGAGGGTCTCTTCCAACCAGACGATTCTATGATCATGTGTGGGGGGGAGCTCTGGCCCCGGGGTGTTCGAGGGTTGACACCCCGCCGGATGCAGGGGCTGTTGCTCTGAGCTCTGTGCCAGGCCCTTGCTGGGCTGAGCAGCTGTAGGTGTCCCACTCCTTGTGTCCCCCTCCTGTGTGGGTGTCCCAGCTGCTCTCACAGTGGCTGTCCTGGAACCACACTCCCTGATGTTCGTCCTCCAGACATGCCCTGGGTGAGGGGATTCCCTGGGAACGCGCTCTTGCTCTTACCTGGAAAAGGCAGACCAAGAAGCCATTTGTGGTCTGACGGTGCCCAGTGCCTTCCCCGCTCCCGGGGTCGTGCCTGGCCCTCACGCTGACCTGCTCTCTGTCTCTGCCAGGCTGACACGCTAAAGGAGAGGTACCAGAAAATCGGCGACACCAAAAGAGCCACGCCAGTGGAGGTGCTCTGTGAGAACTTCCCAGGTAAGGCACCCTGCACAGCCTGTCCCTGACCCCGGAGCCTGCTCCTGGCATCTCTTCCCCTGCCCCAACTGAGTCCCTCTGTGCCCGCAGAGGAGATGGCCACGTACTTGCGCTACGTGCGGCGGCTGGACTTCTTCGAGAAGCCCGATTACGACTACCTGCGGAAGCTCTTCACAGACTTGTTCGAGAGGAATGGTTACGTGTTCGACTACGAATACGACTGGGCAGGGAAG